ATTAGTATCCTCAGAAAGTTTCTACTCTTAAAATGCATAATATCCCCTAGACATTGTGTTAAATAAAATTTCCACTTAGCTTTTTTTAATGTCCTGTTTTCGACTGAGTTAAAGGAAAAATTGTCAGTCATTGATTATATGACAGTAGATAATGCACTTGTAACCCCTCTATTTTATACCACCTTAAAAACAAAAGCATCAGATATGGAAATGAGCAGTTTTATTTCATTCAGGAAGAAAAATCTGAAGGTATGAGTGATTAATTCAGATGTTTTCCCTGTGAATATGCTTGTTATGTAAACAGTCTGTTTCACTTGCATTTTGTTCCAACTGGAAAACAAATATTCGCTTTTATTAACCAAAAATATTTTACATGGAGGCAGAAGGAGAAGAATGGGTAGCTTAGTTGTGCCTGCTGAGCTCGTCTGACAACCATGTTTTCTTCACTATTTATTCTTGGTAAATTTCTAATTCTGAGGCATTCGTGATATTTATTCAAGCTCTGATTTGTTCCTGTTAGAATTTCAGTAGTTCCTAAAGTTTTTCTCATTCATCTACCACTTTTCTTACCACTTTTCAAGTGTAAATTTAGATCTGGCATATTGGCACCTTGAAATTTATCTTCTAGTAGCAAGAAAATACATTCCACCCTGTACAGAAGTTTGTTGTTGTATGTCTTGTACTGAGGTTTCCAGGCTCTGGTTGTGAGTTTCTTCTGGATAAACTTAGGTGTATGAAGTCATCCCTGCATAAATATACTAGATTACATATGAAATACATAGATTTTATTGCAATATTAAAATTCTTTTTTAGAGAAATAATTATAACATTCTTGTTTGAATGTTATAATTTGAGTGACGATATTGCCCAGTTGTTCGTCCATGAAAGTTCTGGTTTATGCCTGTTTCTCTGACATGATTATTAAGAGCACCCTCTTTCACTCTAAAAAATACCTCAAGTTGGAAAGTACTTTATTTGGGCACTAGTTATAATATTAGCATACTCACTTTCCTCTTATATTTTACATAAAATTGGTAAGATTTCATTTCCCTTTTCTGTCATCTTTCCTCAGTCTACCTCCCACACACAAATATAGGATGGATGGGAGAGATAAGTATGTGTATGGCAGATGGCGTTTGTAGGAAACAACGTGAAAGAATAATGAAAAAGTTTCAGAATCAAATGTTCGCTTTCTAAAAGCGTTTTTAAGGATGAAATACTTGGGTTTTCTTGTATTTCAAAACATTTGTTATAATGTTGGCCAATTGACCAGCTTCCCACACCTTTCTCTGTTATTATAATTCAAACTTTAGCTTCTATATATTGCTCGTACATGCTGCACATAGTTCCTATCAATTTTTCAACTTTGTCTTTTGAAGAACATTTGAATTCTTGCTATTCTTTAACTGTATTTTGTTACATTTTCTAACGCATTTAACATTTAAAAGTAGGTAATTTATTAGTCTTATAGCAGTTATGCTTTTATCTATGACCAGAATACAATCCATCTGGTATTTTTCAAACCAGTCTAAGTTTGAAACATCATGGCCTATGAAAACAAGTGTATGCTATATTCACAGTTCTTTCAAGACTTATTTTTGATTTAACATCTATATGTGCGATGAGATGATTTACGATATAAATCTCATAATGACAGAATTTCCCAAGGTGAAATCTTCTCTGAAACAAAGGAAATCTTAGAAGTAATTACATTTTTTAAATTTTATTAATTAATTAATTAATTTTTATTATTATTATTATTTTAATATATCTTTATTGATTTCAGAGAGAGAGATAGAAACATCAATGATGAGAGAGTCGTCATTGGTTGGCTGCCTCCTGCACGCCCCCAACTGGGGATTGAGCCCACAACCCGGGCATGTGCCTTGACAAGGAATCGGACCTCGACCTCCTGGATCCTAGGTCGACACTCAACCACTGAACCACACCTGGCTGGGCACAAAGGAAATCTTAGTATGATGAAGAGAGTGTGACTTTAGAACCAGACAGTTTGGGTTCACATTTGGTCTCCATAGCTTACTTCTGTGTGACCATAGGCAAATACTTCTCTGTTTCAGTCTTCTCATTTGTAAAATGGAGGTAATGATACACCCTACACTTTGTGGGGTTGTTGTGAAGGTTAAATTATAACATGTTATCATAACATATAATATATTATTATAAATAATAAAAGAGTTATTATTTAAAGTACCTAGAATAGTTTCTAGCACATGGTAAGCACTCTGTGTTTATTACTCTTATTGTCAATGGAAGAATAGTTCAGTTTATCTCTCTCAGACTTAATTTGAAACATTAAAGTCAGTTGATAATATTAAAGAAAGTATCTCTATATGTTAAAAGGAATTATGCAGCTTCTTATTTATATATGCACATTGTGGGCAGTGCTATGAAGGTGCCCTGATCAGGAGAATGAGTTTACACAGAAATCTTACCAGCAAACACTTATTAGAGGACTTACTGGTAGAAGCTTCAGCTTTTAGCACCTTCTTTGATTCATTTCAGTTTTCTCTTTTTGAATTGCCTTAGCTATGTGTTCTTCTAGTTCTAACATGTCTTCCCTGAATTCACTTACCTCTCTTCCCCCAATGAAAAATAATCAGTTCCTCTTTTTGACCACAGAATTTTGTTTATGCCTTCATATGGCACTAATTATACTTTCCTGGATGATACAGATTGTGGCATGGTGAAGGCACTGGTACCCTCTGAACCTCCTCTCATAAGCCCTACTGTTAGTTTAGTCTGGGTTTTGTTTCATTCCCTGTGACTTGCTTTTATTTTTAATGCCCATTATTACAGGAAAGGCAATATAGCTAGAGACTGAAGCTCCTCCACGTACCTACTAAGCATTCATGATTAATCAATACTATAAATGTGATCTACTTGGAATTTTGCTACTTATAGAATAATGAGACTATATTTGAGAAAAGAAAAATGCAACCAATTTATAATGATTTCCTGACTAAAATGTATAGATCATCTAGGAATAAAAAATATATAAATGTCTAATATACATTGAGAATTTTATTCTATATAAAGTAAATTTTCATATTTTAGTTTCATAACAGAATATTTTTTAGAGGTCATTGCAATCAGGATGATATCAGCAAATGACATGCCATTTTATGGTATCTACTTTAAATGCACTTATTTTCTTTTTAATAAGAGTTATCTGTATTCTAGTTCCTTTAAATTATTTTATTTCTGGCTTCTAAACTATTTCATTAATGAATCTCTATTGGTTGACCTGTTTTAAATTTGTTGCATGTTTTGTACCATGCAAAAGATGACATTGAGTACTGGACTGGCACAGCACATATGACCACTAAGAATTTCTAACAGTTATTAGATAGACTTATTCAAACTGTGTGGGTTTCCATGCCTCCCTACTGACATTCTCCATGAATAATAAAAACCAAATTCTAATATCCAGACCAGTTCTTTATGGGAGATAGGGTGATATGATTTAAAAAACCACTCACTTTAGAGTAAGACATAGCTGGGCTCAAATTATGGCTTTAACATTTACAGCATGTGACTTGGGGCTAGGTACTTTAGCTCTCCGAACTTCAGGTCACTCAGCTATAAAATAGGTTAGAAAATACAACATAAAGGATTTGTAAGGATTAAGTAAACAAAATCACTTATGTTATACTCTATCTTTATTTTTGTTATAACTGTTAGAGAAGAGGATTTTTGAAAAAATTTACTCTCTGAAAGAAGCTTACTATTGGTATTTTTTTTTAATCTAAACTTCTATTTTAATAAAAAACAAAAACTCAATTGGATCTTTAAAGGCTCGTGTCTGGAAGTATCATCTCCTGAGTACTCCCTGTTGTACCTTTTGGATATTTCTCTTAATGTCACTAAATGTATCTTTTCTGTCAATTTCAATTTCAATTACAGTGCTGTCATCAGCACTGTAAGTGGACGATTTAGCTACTACTCTGGCCCACAGATTTTCAACCTTTTTCATCTCGTGGCACGCATAAACTAATTACTAAAATTCTGTGGCACACCAAAAAATATATTTTTTGCCAATCTGACAAAAAAAAAAGTAGGTATAATTTGATTCATTCACACCGGACAGCTATTGTTGCGTTGGCTGTTCTCATTTTTTTATTTGACGGCCTAAGGGAAAAGAGATCATTGTCCCTGAATGAATAGTCAGGCATTGCATGTTTAAAAATTTTTGCAGCACACCACTAGAAAATTGCTGCTCTGGCCTCTTATTTCCTTGAGCCCTGCATGAATATTGACCTTTATCTCAGCTCCACTTCATTTAGCTACTCCAGTGGTCACAGCTAAAATTCTGTCACTGGAAGTACTGTTCTACCTCCAAAGCATCATTTTCCAACAGCAGTCTCTAGTCTTCCATCTTGCTTGTACAACTGCTTGCACTTTAATTTGTCGTCTCACCAGGATTTCATGTACTTTGTCCCTTCTACCTTTGCCTAATCTATCAGCCCTTCTGTGTTCCGTTCTCTTCCCTTTATTTGCAGGTGAGATCCCAAAGTGTCTCATCACTTCAGTTGTTCTCTTGCTCATATCCCAAACTTCATTTCCATCTTGATACTGTGACCTCTATGTTATATCTTTGACTTAAAATATTTTATAGAACATTTATTAACATCTCAAAACCTCAGTTGTCTCATGGATAATATGTGAGTAATTATACCTGCCTTGTTACCTTATGGTATTAAACAAGTTACTGTTTAGTCTGCCTTCAACCCATGTGGAGAAAAGTTGTGAAGAAAGGTAACATGACATTTAGAGATAGACTGTGTTTGTACCTGCACTGCTGTCTGCTGCTACAAAACTCACCAGGCCAGGCAAATTCAGATAATACACAGTTTGGTTTGCCATCCCTTCAGTGCTCCTTAAGATTTCAGATCATCCAACTCCACAAAAGCTCATTTATGGATCTTTAAAAGCTGCATACTTATGTATTTAGAATAACTGAATGTATGTTTAAATTTTAGAAATCTCCGAGAAGCAAGGGATAATGCTTTGGCTGAAAAGGACCGAGCGGTGATGGCTGAAAAGGATGCTTTAGAAAAACATAATCAGCTCTTAGACAGGTAAGGATCCTGAAAATAGACATGTTAAAATTAATAAAGTATAATTTTCATTTCAACTGAAATGTATACATGTAGCATTATTTTTGTAATGTGTAATTCTTTCATACATTGAAACAAGATATAGTGCAATTCTGTCACCCTAGAGAGTTTTCCTAACACTATTTTTGTCCATCTCAATTACTACTCCTCAAGAGGCAAACACTGATTTCTATCTTCCTGGACTAAAACTAAATGGAATCGTACAGTATGTACTCTTTTGTGTCTAGCTTCTTTCATTCAGACTTATACGTTTCATCCACTTGTTTTTATATCAGTAGTTCATTCCTTACTATTGCTGAGTATAAATATACGACAGTTTGTGTATTCGCTCACCTGTTGATAGACATTTAGGTTGTTTCCAGTTTGGGGCTATCATGAATAAAGCTGCTGTGAACATTTTTTATATACTTCTCTTGGTGGGCATATGTTTTTATTTCTCTTGGATAAATATCTAGGAGTGGAATTACTAATCATAGAGTAGGTGAATGTTTTACTTTAAGAGAACCTGCCAAGGTTAACTCCAAAGTAGTTGTACCATTGTATACTCCCCAGTTCATTTTTTAAAAATCTTTATGTTCTGACTCATGTGTATGAGGGAGGAGAAGAGAGAATTTTTTATTTATCAATAGTAAAGGATATTTAATGGCCTAGTTAAAAAGAAAATCACTGATGAATATTATGGTAAATATTAGTTCATTAAACACAGAATTTTCAGTGGTTTGACTATATGCAGAGTAAACAATGCTTAACCTTTTCTTAAACTTTTTATTTTGAAATAACTTCAGACAGAAAAGTTACTAAGATAGTACAAAAAATTTCCTTATATCTTTCACATACTGATAAACTTTGAAAATAAGCTGAAAGGGTCTTTTAATTGTTAAATGTACACTTGAAGATTTATTTGTGGTTTAAGCAGTAAATCAAACTAAATATTGAGGCAGGTCTTCCTACAATGAACCTGCCTTTAGTTCTTTGGAATGTCAAAACTTTAGAATGGTTCAAATTGTTATCCTTCTGAATACACATCAACTTTATAAACCTGATCCATGGAGGAATTTTAATAAATGTACTCATGAAGAAATCTTTCCTATAATGTGAAAGCATGTCTAATTCCAAAGATCTTAATGTAAAACAAATTTATAAATCAAGTGTTTTGTTGCAGTTCTATTACAACCTATCTTTAAACTATCTTTTGTTATGTATAATCCTTCTATTTATAAATCTATATGATTTCCACTAAAGATTTACTTGGCTTTTTTGTTGATGCTTTTGAATGTGATAAATTTAGTAATGGCTTTAGAACAATATTTATGAACAAACTAGCAAACTTTAAAAGAAAGCATAAGATTTTACCTAGTAAACCAAGCAGAATTTCATAATTTGCTAGCTTTAGTATGTTTTTGTGAATTTGGAAAGAAGAGAATAGTAAATCATCCTTAAAATGGGCTATTTTATATTTGTTCTAAACTCTGTATATTCTAAACTCTATCCTACTCCCTTCCCCTCTCAAATCAATTTTTTTTAAAAAAGTTGATATCTTTCCAAATCATTTTCCACTAGAATATAGAATAAAGTGGTACAGCTCATTTTAACCTCCAGAATTAGAAGAACTTTATTCTTAATTTCTTGAAGTGATAGTAAAACCTTGCTCATTCAGAGCCTGATTTTCAACCAGCCTATGAGCAGTAAATAGCGGGGATGCTCACACCTTTAAAGGACATTACAGGACCAAGCACTTATTGGACAACTGAATGAGAGTAATACATGGGAATCTAAAACTCAGAATAAGTATGGGCTTGCCCAGCCAGGCGTGGCTCAGTGGTTGAGCATCGACCTAGGCTCCGGGAGATCGCAGTTCGATTCCCCGTGAGGGCACATGCCCAGGTTGAGGGCTCGATCCCCATTTGGGGGTGTACAGGAGGCAGCCGATCAACAATGACTCTCATCATTGATGTTTCTTTTCTTTTTTTTCTTTATCTTTATTGTTGAGACCATTACAGATATCTTCCTTTTAACACTACTGATCCCCTCCACCCCACATCCACCCCATCCCCAGGCCCTCCCCACACCAATGTCCATGTCCATGGGCCATGTCCATAAACATACAGGTTCCCTGATTAATCTCTCCCCACCTACACCCCCTTCCCACCTTCCTTCTGAGATCCCTCAGTTTGTTCTAAGCTCCTATGTTACTGGATCTACTTTGTTCACCAGTTTATTTTTATTATATTCCACATATAAGCAAGATCGTTGTCCTTCTCTGCCTGGCTCATTTCACTTAGCATAATACTCTCCAGTTCCTTCCATGCTGTTCCAAGGGCCAAAAGGTCCTTCTTCACAGCTGCATAGTACTCCATGGTGTGAATGTGCCACAGCTTTTTTATCCACTCATTTACTGATGGGCACTTGGGCTGTTTCCAAATCTTAGCGATAGTGAATTGCACTGCTGTGAACATAGGGGTGCATAAGTTTTTTACGATTGATGTTTGGAGTTCCTTAGGATATATTCCTAGAAGTGGGATCACTGGGTCAAATGGCAGGTCAATTATTTTTAATCCTTTGAGGATNCGCTGGGTCAAATGGCAGGGTCAATTTTTAATCTTTTGAGGATACTCCATACTGCTTTCCATAGTGGCTACACCAGTCTGCATTCCCACCAGCAGTGTACTAGGGTGCCCTTTTCTCCACACCCTCCCCAGCACTTGTCCTTCGTTGATTTGGTGATGGCAGCCATTCTGACAGGTGTGAAGTGATA